ACATCATTCACAGAACAGTGCTCAAAAGGAAAAAAGAAAAAATATCTATTTCCTCAGCGCTAAATGAAGATGATAGTTTAGTCGATGATATTTTGAATGACGCATGACTCTGCATAAAACAGTGACTATACATAAAACAGTGACTTCTTTTTCTTTTAGTTATTTTTTAAGCTTGTGTTGATTCGGTTAGCAATCTGATTTTTTACCTTTTCTGTTCTCTTATAATCATTCTTTGTTTGCTAACTGATGATTTCCCAGGAAAAACGAGAAGACGCTGTTTCGCAAAATTTTGCAAAATTCTTAAACTAGAAGTGTTTTTTTGCAAAAATTTTCACAAATCTCTTTTTCCAGGAAGAAAATTGCAAATTTCTGCAAACTTCGAAATCTTCTATGTTTCTTACAGAAACTCGCAATTTTCTTCCTGGAAAAAAGAGATTTGTGAAAAATTTTGCAACAAAACACTTCTAATTTAAGAATTTTGCAAAATTTTGCGAAACAGCGTCTTCTCGTTTTTCCTATTTTTTGTGCTCGTTGTACTCGTACCTTCTCGAACTAGGGAGACCTCTTCGCGGTGAGAAGGAGAAACGGCGATGAAAATCGACGCCCAACATCCCGGTATACGTTCACGAGCTGCTTCACGATAGACATTCATGGCCTTCATCATTTGCATCCAATAGTCATTTGGGCGATTAAACTGGAATAGACTTGATGTATGCTCAAGTGGTAACAGAGGGTGTCTACCAAACATTAACTGAAATGGACTGTGTCCAGTACTACTTTGTTGTCCTGTAGGCATAAATTACTGGTGGTAGGTAGTCATCCCAATTGTTCAGATCTGCATTGTATAGTTTCGCCAGCTGAGGATGAAATGTGCCGTTGAACCTTTCCACCAATCGGTTCGTTTGCGGATGATATGCAGCGGACTTGATATGATACGTTCCTAACAATAACGTTAAATTGTGCATGAGTTCATTATTGAAGTGCACACCTTGATCCGTTACCAGCCGTCTAGGAACACCGTATTTGAAGACAAATTGTTCAACAAAACATCTAGCTGTTGTGGCTGATTTGCGAAGTTTGAGTCAGGTTCGATTGAGTCCAAAATGAGCACCAGTTGGATGATCGTGATAACATCGAATCACTTCCTCGTGCATTGATAATGGAATATATATTAGTTTAGTTTTAGTAAATGCAGATGGTAGTCGTATCGTTTTGTATAAAACATCATTTTCTATTATATAAGTTGGATCACTGGTGTTTCGTCTGGATAATTGTTTCCTGATGTGAGCTATTTGAGGATCACGCTTCTGTTCCTCACTAATGCGTTCGAAACTGAAATCGAATGTCATTACGGTCGATACCGGAGTATCATCATTAGTTATTGAAATTGATTCGTTGGCGTTACTATTTGATGTGCGACGAACAACAGTTTTCGTCATTGATCTCGTCATAATATTTAATGATGGCTGTTGATCATTGACTTCTGGTCGTGACATGCCATCTGCATCACCATGATTTCGACCTTTTCTGTATTTGACTTCTATTATTTGTGGAAGTATATCTTGGTGTTTAATTAACCATTCCGCAATTCGTTTGCTATTGAATTTCCGCTTTTTGTGAAATTGTTCCAATGGTTTGCGATCCGAATGAATGATGACATCCCTTCCACCTAAGTACTGCTGCAATTTTTCGATGCACCAAAAGATGGCCAATGCCTCTCGGTCTATTGTTGAATAATTCTTCTCGGTTGGTGTTAACAATTTAGATAGAAAGTAATTATAATGAGTTTGACCGTCTGTAATTTGTTTTAATGTGCCGCCAATCGCATACTCCGATGCATCAGTAGCCAAAATAAACGGTGCAGTTGGATGAGGATACTTCAATACTAGTGGTTCTTCTGTTAATACTTGTTTTAACTTATTTGCTGCTTGAACCTGATCCTCATGCCGATAAAATTCTTGGTTTTTCTTCTTTGTCTTGTTGGTGACTTTATGGATAGGAGCAGCTAATTCAGCAAACTTTAGAATAAATTTCCTATACCATCCAATTTTTCCAATAAATTTATTTGCTTGAGCCAGTGTTGTGGATTGAGGAATATCAAGTATGGCTTGAATACGTTCCTTAGATGGAATAATTGCATCTTTTGTGATTGTATGGCTTAAAAATTCAATTGTTTAGCTAATGAGCATTTATCAGGATTTAATGTAAATCGATGCTCACTTAATACATTGAATACATCTTGAAGGTGTTTCATATGTTCGTCAAACGAATTTGAAAATATTAAAATATCATCGAGGTATACTAAAACATAATCCCACCGTTTATAGCCGATGATATTATTCATCACTCGTTGAAAAGTGGGTGGAGCATTCATCAACCCCATGGGTAATACTTCAAATTGATATAAACCATAAACACTGTCTTTTCCTTGTCGGCGTGTTGAATGGGTATTTGATAATACCCACTGTTCAAATCTAATTTGGTAAACCAAGAATGACCACCTAAGCGTTGTAACAGTTCCTCAACCGTAGGTTGTGGATAAGAATCCTTTTTGGTAATCGAATTGAGCCGTCTGTAATCAATAATAAATCGAAATTCTCTATTTGGCTTTCGCAGTAACACCACCGGTGATGACCACGGAGAATGTGACGGAACAATTATACCACTTTTTAACATTTTTACGTTGATCACTGGTCTTAAAGTATGGCTTTGCATTTACCGGAGAATGCTCACCTGTGTCGATTACATGATGTATCTTGGCCTTGATCGTTCTTGGTTGAGAGGTATCAAACAGTACACGATGTTCTTGTAGAAAATTTAGTAACTGTTGATTGTTGTTCATTGATTTTGAGATGCTGGTTAATGAGTCAGTAACAGTATTTAATGGAGTTTGTGCTTCTTTTTCTTGGTTGACATCACATTCCTGCGTTATTCCATTTGAAAATAATGTTGAACAATATGTATCTGAAGCCAAATGATCAATTAGTCAGATCATCAACTATCATTGCTCTTATTCCATAGTTCGAATTATTTATTCTTAAATTTAAAAAGATCCATCCATATTGAGTCATTTTCGTTTTTGAATCACCCAATAACATGGCACCCGATTGTTTATAAATTTGATTTTGACAATTTAAGTTGATAACCGCAGACTTTGTAATCAATGAACATGTTGCTCCCGTATCCACCATAGCCGAAATTTTCTTGTTATTGATCCATGTTGGAATAAAAATTAATGATGGTAAATCTTTATTAACGAGAGCAGTACCATCATGCGCTCCCGTTAGTAGTTTTTTGAGAAACAATCGCGAGCAAAATGACCTACTCTATTACATCGTTAACATCTAGCTTTTGGTGATGATTGCGAAGGTTGTTGTAGTTGTTGAGGGTAAGATCTGATAGGGGATTTAATTGTGGATACAGAACTACTATCGGAATTTTTAAAGAAGGCCGGTGGAAGAAAAGCTTATAACGTTTAAATGGAAAGTCGTAGATACCTGCGGTTTTCACCATTCAATAGACGACAGTCGGGGGCACATACCAGCATGGAAAAGTGATATTCCTAGGTACTTTTTCAGACCAGTTTTCGTCTACGAAATTAAGGGCAAATTATTGAATCTTTTCGATGAAATTTTTTAGCTAGGTTTGCACCCCGACATGCCCTCTTCACATTGGTATCTAAACAATTTCTAGATTTCGTCTCCTTGAAAGACCCGAAGTCTTATGGAGGACGAACTTCACGTAGGACACTTTTCGCTGAAAAACAAAAAATTACTCTGAAGATAGGTTTTCGATGATGCTAATCAACATGAAAGGCCTTATTCTCTTTAAGATGTGCGACTCTAAATGTGATATCTCTTTCCCGATACGAACATGTCCGTATGTCATGCGAGGATGAAAAAGAG